CGAATTTCTACAAAGAGGGGGGAATATGTCACCGGGTTCACAGGTGCGTGAAAGTCAGTCAATATATCGGGTCTCAATAGCTCAGTGGTTAGAGCGCTGGCACGGTACGCCAGAGGCCCTGGGTTCGAGTCCCGGTTGAGACTTGATTTTTCACCACCTGTGACAATAATTAATTCGATTAATTAGGCAAATCATAAATCGCCACAGGAGACAAGACTGACAGGACGTGCCTTGCATTCATTTGGAAACAATTATCATCTTTTAATTCAATATTTAAACGGTTAATAAAAAGAATTCATTAGGTTGGTTGTAGCGCTAAAATTTTTGTTTTCATCTGTGTGAGTTTATTTAATGACTTTAACATCCTTTATGTCCTGAGGAAGGGACAGTGCGTCAAAAAAATTAAAAATGTCTAGTGAAACACTTAAAATGTATAGTGTTTCCTAGTTGTGGTAAAAACCTGTTAATGTCCGCGACAAAATTGAGGATTTTGACTTGCAGAATTTCATCATATAATCGGTTTAGAAATATGATGATATATGATGATACTTTGAAAGTTATGATGAATTTTTTTTTTCCTTTTTTTTTTTTTTTTTTTTTTTTTTTTTGAAACCTTTTTTTCTTGGATTCAGTGTCAGTAAAGTTATTTATGAAATTTTTTTTTATATAAATATATATGGGTTATCTTGAATTTTAAAGAGATGTAGACCTTGACGAAGTTTGTATGCAGTTTTGTTGTTGTTGTTTTTCGTCCTATTCGAGAATTTTTCATTCATAAAGATTGCATGCAGTGAAACGAAGTAGAAATAATAAATTTGAACCTCTTTTTTGTATACAGTGAAAAGTAGTTCAAATAATAACTTATAAAACAAAAAACGTATTTTATGATAAATAAGTTATATGGAGATATTTATTTGACTTATATTTGCATAGTCTCTGAAGTCTCCCACTATGAACCTGCACTTTCCAGTTGCATTCATAGCACCATGAACGCAACTTCTCCTGCCTTAAGTGCAGTTCGTTTCTTACACTGGTGCAGTACAAGCTATTCCACCTATACAACACATTCAGAAGTATATGTATGGAATGTTGTGCAAAAGGAATAAAATTAAATTTTTAATGTAATCCTTCGGGAAAAAGGAAATTTAAAATGATTAAAATTGCTAATTGAGGTGTATTTAATCTGTTAAAAAAATAATTTTAGTCAACGTGTTTAATTGTATAATAAAACATTGTACAAATTAAACAGAGCTCTATATCTTTAATTTGTTTGTTCATTTTTACGCATATAGTTACAAAGAACGATAACTCTTCAGTTTAGGGTGTTTTACATTCAGACAAAGCGAAATCTCCGTAGTGAATAGTGTATATATTTCAATAACGATTTTATCTCTTAAAAAGAATTTTAAGGACTTAAGAAACATGAGGGAAATATTTGTAAATTAAAATCAATATAAAAACATTCTTTTTTTTTGGGGGGGGGGGGGTGTTTATGATATTGTTATTAATAATTTTTCTCAAAGAGTTACGATGACGTCATGACGCGTCACAACATCATCAAAACAAAAGATTCGAGAATTTGAAGACGGCGCGGTTTGTATCCAGATAACTGTGATTAGTAAGCAAATACCATTTATATTGTATGTGATTTATTGGAGATAAAGTGGATAAATTATTAATCAGTTCTACTGATTTTATTGTCATATTTTTCTTCATTGGAGACATGTCCTTATGCAGGCCAGGATTTACTCTGATATTCTTGACATCACAGAATGCAAATATAAGAAATAAACAACGATTATTCAGTGAAAATGACGTTATGAATAGCAATAGCTCTACTGGCATATTTTCCATGATGCGCTATCGCGCATTGATCATGGAATATGCCAGCAGAGCAATTGCTATTCATAACGCCATGTTCACTGAATAACGTTGTTTATTTCTTAAATTCTTATGCAATGCAAATTTTTCAGTTATAGCTGATATATTTTACAATCAACAGTTCATCAGTCCCAGTTAACTTAATCTGCCGTTTATTTGTATGCAGGAACATTGGAGGGATATTTAAAGGTCTTAATAAATCAATCTACTGCAGGGCATACCTTAAATTGATCACGACAAGCTTTTACATATAAAATATAGAAGACTAAATCTATTTGAAAAGTGCCGTTATGCTGTTAAAATCTTAAAGATGAATTTTTATATTTATTGCTGTTAATGAGCATGCAGTCATACAAATATGATTTTATAATGTAATAGTAGAATCTATAAATTATCGCAGTACACCAAATATATAGAAATTTCGTCGTCCTCAATATGTATTTTCTAACAATAATTAAATCCGATTTAAGTACCACAAACAATAGCCACCATAATTATGATTGTATTTTAATCTCCTGCGTTGCGATGTGGTTAGAGCGTCTGCCCTGGAGTCGCAGAGTAAGGAGCTGGACCGTTTCTCTAAACTAATTTGAAGTAAGACTTGTCTTAAGATTTCTTATATATTCGTGAAACAATGATTATCATAAGTCATAACTTAAAATAATCTTAAAATCTGTCTTAGGACAAATCTTACGATAGTTTTGTGAAACCCGGCCCTGATCCTTAGATCCCTCACTGCTCAATGGTGCTGAGTGCCGAGTATAGGTATAAATTTGCAGCCCTCCAAGTGGTTGCGTCTCCATATGAGTGAAATATTTTTTTTAGAGAAACGTTAAACAGAAAACAAATAAATAAAATAAATGATTTTATTTTGTTTCATAAAAAATCGTCATTTCCATTGGGTACCTTAAATATATTATGTATTTCTATGAATATGAACATAAAAGGATAAAAAGAAACTCACCCTTACAATCGTCATCACTTTCACATTGGATTCCCCTGTGAAACTGAGAAAATAAGAACAAAACTCATAAAACTAGCTTGAGTATTCAATACACTACTAAACAAGGGAGAAAAGAAAATAAATGTGACTTGAAAAATCATTTTCTTATTTATTCCACTAGTTTTGTTTTTTAAAAAAACCACACATTGTATATCAAAACGAAAATAATTTACGGGTATCGCGGATTATGCAACCGACCTCACTATAACCGCAGCGTATTCAACATTACCTCCCGCGGTTAGTTCATCGCACTCCTAGTTCTAGCTAATACACACTGCGGTAAATTCTACAATCAGGATAAGCTGTCATCTTTTTTTTTCTAAATCAATTTACTAATATATAGATACAAGTAATTGTGTCAAAGGTAATATTAAATCACAATTTTGTTGTATTAAAAATTCTTACATTCGAAAAGCTTCAACTAGCTTTTAGCAGTCTGTATTTTAGTTTCCTTTGTTGCTTATGATTTTTTTTATATATAATAAAGTTTTGATAAAGTTTTTTTTTTTTTTCGAAATGTCTATAAATTTTTACACTATTTTGAAAGGTTCTTTGCATGACAAATTCACAACTCGATCACACGAAATCAATAGATCAATCAATATGAATAGTCTGTTCGTATATGGTCACTTTTTTTATCAAAATAATTTGATAATCCTTTTCTAAAACTGATGGCATACCTCCTGAACACTGCTAGTCGTTTGCATTTTTCTGTGACAATTATATAGCGTCTGAAAAACATTTTATGTAAAAATGTAATATCATAAAAAAAAAAGTTCGCAGGGTGAAATATTGGCGAGTAAAACAAGATTGTCAAACTAGCAGATATGTCTACAAGGCAAAGGACATTTTTTATGAGTTTATTTATATCAAATAGAGTATACTGTATGTAGCAGATATATAATGAAATAATGAACTTTCTGTACTTTGATTTCTTATCGATAATTTGCGGCGAAGGCGGTGAGGATTACCTTGCTTGAGAAACCACGGGGATGTGCAGCTTTTACTTACAACAACCCCTTTACTAATACATGAAATAATCAGTGTTCGCGGAAAATGGGTGAAGTGCGTTGCCCTTACCATACGTGAATACACCAGATCATAGCAACGCTCCTTTTCAAAATTCCAGCATATTTCATCAGTCTCAGAATGCGTACATTTTATTTCCTCGGGGATTGGCGTCCTTTTTATACTGTCATCACTGTCATCATCAGTACTGATTGCCAATGTTTGGTCCGCTTTCCAATTATTCTCATCCGATTTTTGAGTTTCCTTGGATTCGCTTGAGTCTGACTGTACAAACAAGAGACCCATGAGCCACAACGCTCACGGGAGAAACAATGGTCCCCATTTTCTTCGGAAATCGTTGTCATTGTCCCGGGGAATGCTTTGATGAAACCTGAATCTACACTGCTTGAAGATGCTTGCTTTTTAAATGTGTGATCATGAGGTTTTCAACTGTGACCCCATCCTACATCTAGAGGCCCAAAAATCTAAATCTACCTGACCTTAAATTTTTGCATAATACATTCACAATAATGGTGATTTTGTTTGTTTTTATATTCCTATGTTAAGATTGATACTACATAGTGGCCCTACTCCACCCCCGAAAGCCATGTTTTGAACAAACTAGAAACTGCAATTATAATATCAAAAAATAAAGAAATGTCTTTAATATTGACAGGTTAATACTTGTTCCCTCATTTTATGGTCCCAACCTTAAGTCCAGAGTTTGTCAGGGTTCTCCATGAAATGTTTTAAAATGGCGCTCTTGACGCAATTACATTTCTTAGCGCCACAGTTAAAAAAATTTTGGCCAAAGGCTAGTTGGAAGATGATATCTTTGAAAACTCATATCTTATTTTTCCATTATGTCGCTTTTCAAATTAAAATTATTCGAAGAATATTTGAATATTTGAAGAATTTATTTGAACCCAATGCTACTCTTTTCTAAGCTTTGTTGAAATTATTTCAGAATTTTGGAGATGACGATTGAATTATGAGAACAATTTTTAACAACAACGACGCTAGTGACGACAACAACCAACGAGGGACACATTTTTGTCAGAAAAGCTCTCTCGAGTCTTCAACTTTGGCGAATTTATAATTTGAGAGAGAGAGAGAGAGAGAGAGAGAGAGAGAGAGAGAGATAAAATACCTGTTTTTCATTTGATTTTTCATCACGCCGATGGATTGTCACTGTGTCTGAACATCGTCTAGGAGAGAGTCATGTTGAAGAAGTGATTTTTTAAATTATATATATCTTAATTAATGCTACATTTTTTTTTAGATATTGATAGAATAAAGAGGAAATTTTTTTTTACCTTATTTTTTGTTTAACTTGCACCGCTTTTGATCTAGATCTTAGACCCTCCGATCCGCCCTTCAAACGATTGCAAATGATTTTTTACAAATGATTTCATTGAGGATATATAAATCATTAAAACGATAAAAAAAAAAATATATAATAGTTATACTTACGCAAATAAAACAAACAAGTGCCAAAATAAGAAATATTTTCAAATTCGTCATGTTGTCCCTTAGAGTTCTTTGACTAATACAAATGGAAGAATATCTTATATTATATATAGAAATATATATGCAATAAATAAAAATAATTTGTATGACTCTACATGACACTCTATGCACTATGCGCACGAATTTAAATAACATCACGTCCTTTTTTCAAAAATAGCGGAAATATAATTATTATGAACTTGGTTGATGAGAATAACATCATGAACCTATGTAGAGTTAATATAAGAGGTGATACAAAAGTTATGTCACAGGCGTTACGTAACATAAACATAATATTAATTCCAGATTCAAATGCAACTACTATGAAATCTCCGTTTTGTTTTGTAATCAATTAATGTTTGAGGGAATTTATCCAGAATAAATGAAAGTGAACTCTTTATGATTGTAATTGTTTATTTGTTAAACGTACATTTCGTCCCTGGTAATACATTTATTCAAAAAGAGGCATTTATTTTCTAGGAAGAAAATGTATAATAAATACAGATCCTAAAACGTGCTAATGTACCTCTTGCACGATTCGGTTCGTTTCGTTTTGAGTACGGTACGCTTCTTGCACGGAAGTCCGTTTCGTTTCTGAGGTGTAGTAGCACGTTTTAGGGTCTGTATATATATTTTGTAGTGACATACTAATCATTGCATTAGATTCCAATTGTGTAATTAAGATAGTGAAGAAAGACGTAAAAACTATCCTAAGGAATTTTCTAGAAAAAAAAAACCTTAACCTTAACAAAAGAAGGCCTTAACAACAAAAAATGTTCAGATTGATTTAGTGTAAGTTGTTGGCTTTAATTTTTCACATTTCCTTTAGTTAGTTTATTATTTTCAATCACAAATAATTTTAAACATCAAAATAATTATAGAAAAAAATATAACAGCTAACACTAACTTTGTTTTAAAATGGTTTTATCATGTGTCTAAATTTGTTCAACATGAAACAGTGTTATAATTTTGAAACATATCATTATCGTTTATTTACCAAATATGCTGATATCCGTAAAAGAATAGAGGTACTCCTGACATAATTAGAAAAAAAACTTCAAATTTATCATACATTTTTCATATAAAACTTCAACTACTGCAAATTAAGTTAGCACGCAGGTACGTTAAGGCTTCCCAAAGAATATTGCATTGTACTCTGTGCCTTCACTTCTCTGAACTACAAATATATGACGTCATAATTGAAAATGACGTCATGTCACTGCAAACTTGAGCTGTTATGATGGGGAGAGTGACATAAACTTTACACCCTATTTCAATCTCCATATAAAGTGTCAGGAAGGTAGTGTAAAATAAACGTGTTTTAATCTTTTTTTGAAAATCTTATATATCCGAATATTTTAGAAAACCTTGCTTTATTACTCTTGTTTAAAAGTCAGCGTGTTCAAAATATATATGGAAATATACGTTTGTCATTTACCCTGATTTATACATTTGGATAGAGATAAAATTTATAATATGTGTATAAAAGAGCCTGGCGCAGGTGATTAGTGAGGATTTATTTGAAATCTTTTGTGAAAATCTGTAAGAGGTGTTTCCCCTCTAACTGAATCTTGCTTGGAAAAAATGTGTGATAGCTTTGTTTTAATACATATGGCGATATTGATTGGAAAATACCCTCAAATTTGTTGGTAGGTTGAATTTATTGTGAAATATTTTGTACCAGAGTAATAGTATAACTTTTTCCCAGCACATTTCGGGTTCACAAGGATGTGACGTGTTTATTTATGTGACAAAAAGTTAATAATAATTGTATTAATCACCTGCGCCGAAGCGATTTATGTGAAACACTTCAAAAAAGTAGAAATGACCGTCACGTGATCAACGAGGTCATGTGATATCGTAACAAATACTTTTATATATATCCTAGAGAACCCTCTATAAAAATTGGCCGTACTTGTGTACATAACTTACAAATAAAAATAAAACTCGAGCTTGCAATGCAGTGTTATGTTTTTAACGCATTTAAAGCTTCGCGAAGCCTTAACATTGCTACGCATTTCTATGATGATCAAGAAAAATTGAAAAAAAAAATACAAGAAAGGGCCTTGCGTTTCGTCTAAGACGATTACAAAAATATACTCAATATACAGGTGAAAAGGGTATATTTCTACATAAGTAAGCGGAGTTGACGATCGAAAAGTTGGTTTCATAACGTTTATCATATAAAACTTTGTTGTTGGTTTACCATTTACATCTTTGTCTAGTAAAATATCCAAATATAAAACAGATGTGGTATCTTTTATTTCAAGATCATACGAATACTTGTTTATCGTGTCGACATATGAATGGAAGTAACTATTGTTCATTGATAATATCGATATATCTTAGTGTCGAGTTGAAGGCAACAGCATGTGTTTTTTTTTTTTTTTTCTTCTCATTTATAAGCTTTTAAATAAATTCTGCTTCATATGAATACAGAAATAATTCTGCTAAAAGGGGGCGCATTTGGTAACCATGGATGATGGAAAAACTGGTCTATAAAGACAACATAGATATTGAATTTTGCAAAATTAATGAACAATAACAATGTGAGTAAATTTAGGAGTGCCATATTATTTCTTGAAAAAGCTGCTGCCAATGATGTCAAAAATCTGTACTTTAAATTATCGTGAGGAATAATGAAATATGGTGATTACAAAAGCATATAAGCTCCGAAGTCCATTCAAATAATATAGATCACAAGCAGAGCAAAACCAGACCTCTAACACAGAGGTGGGATTGGATGCCATTGACGAGTGACTAGCCCATGCCGACTAGTCACACCTGCCGTTTGCACCTTGCCCTGATCTGGAGAAAAGGAAAAAAAAGCTGACATAATTGATGCCATTCGATAAGTCATTTCTCTCATACTAAGTTTGACTATGGGGTACTCCACATAACCGATCTTTACGTAGGGCTCATGTCGATTGTGTCCAGACAATAGGAAATGCTCACTCATCCTAGGCACCTGATCCCATCTCTAGTGTTTTAAGGGTTTCAACTTCTGTGCTGCTTGCTATTTGTTTACTTGATTTATTAGATTGATCACTGTGCATTATCTTCACATTTAACATGAATGGGATTTTGTTTTAAAGTTTGCATTCTGATTTAAAGGAGATTTTAAACGCATCTATACCTTTAAAGTTACATTTTTGTGATTAAGTAATTTTTCAAAATATGACAAATGGTTTCTACAAATAAGACCTTTTACTAAGTATTACTTTACACAGATATATCATTAAGTTTAATTCGGTCTATGGCATCTCAAGAAGATTATAAACTATGAATGCTGTTTTCTGCATTTTACATGTAAATAGTCATGAATATTTTACAAGATGAAATCGCATTATTAGAGTTAAAATTCTCAATTTATTGGTATACTCCTTAAACATGAATTAACAGAGAGGCAATAATTTTTGAACAAATGAAGATAAACATTTATTCGGCAAGACAATGAACCTTTACAAATTTATGCATATGCTTAAGATAACCTGTGTGCTTAGTGTATGTCATAAATCATATATAGAGAAACAATCAAGGTTTATCCCATCACAATAGGCTGACAACAATTAGTCATATTTAGACGCCACCACTTGCCTACAGAGGTCTTCAATTAATACTCGGCACGTATGACCGTTGAGCAGTGAGGGGTCACTTTCATGCCTGTACCTATACTGCAAAAGGGGACCTCGATTTATACTCATCCGAAGGACTGATATTGTCAAAGTCACTGATCATAAACATGATGATGATTTAAACAGATACAAAAAATAAATACAGAACTGTTTTTTTCTCTCTCTCTCTTTTTTTTTTTTTCAATGCACAGTCTTTTTCGTGAAAATGTAAAATGAATCTTCAATATATGTTGAGTGGAAGTATTGAAAAATTCCACACCACTTGTTCCGCGCAGAAAACATTCAACGCCACTTGATTACCCCTAAAAAATCACTTCTATTAATTTTTCGAATGTTGATAACACAAACCATTCTCAATGTCTTTTTTTTTAATATATTCTCCAATTAGTAAAGAAATTGATATAAGTTCAATAGTATTACAAACATTACAGATAATATCCAAATGTTCAAGTGAAAACATAACATTAACATTTGGGCGGGGGTAGGCGTCCACCCCTTGTTGTCCGGGGATATTGCAGACATTTTTAATATTTTTTTAAATTAAAAAGATACTACATACAGTCCCTGAAACGTTCTACTTTCCCATTTTTCCGTTTGCTCACCGTTCGTTCAGCGTTCGTTCACCGTGCGTTCACCGTTGGCTCTCCGTTCACAGTTTTGCGTTCAGCGTTCACTTTGCGTTCACCGTTCACTTATCGTTCAGTCTTCAGTGTCATTCGGAACTAAGAAGTGAAAGGACGTATCTTTTTGTTAGTAAGGATTTACAGCTTTTTTAATCGTGCTTAAAGAATCATTATCTCATGGGAAAAAAATATCCACAATATTCTAGCTTACTATTTTTTATCATTCTAATTACTTAGCTGTAAGGTAATTTACTCTGGATAATAAATGTTGTTATAAGTATGTACCTATGTAAAACGATACTGAAAAATTAAATTTAAATACGGGCAATATTAAGATACTTCAAGCACTGCAACATTTTGTTGTTATGTTAAAGACGACAAATCGTTTATGGATAGATAATTATCCAAGTCAATTAATTTACAAACTGCAGCATAATTACGAAAATATTTATTTCTAACACTTTTTATTCAATTACTACAGAAATACATGATAGAACTAGTTCTGAGAATTATACATAGCACTGTGGATATCCTGTTAATTAAATATCTTTGAAGCGAATCGAATTGATAGTATGGCTAAAAAAATACTTATTTAAAATTTAATGCACTACAGGATTTTCTCTACTAGAATATATAAAGTCTATAGTTATAGAGAAAATAAATTCTTCCTTCTCCGTAACTTTATATGTTTGCCATTCGATATGATTAAGAGCCCCCCCCCCCCCCCCAAATCGGTTACTTAGT